ATACTACTCAACATATTCAAACATTAGTTACAACAATCACATGGGCCCTAAACAGATGAGTCTTTCACTCCCAATATGGTTTCGATAAATATAAATTATACGGAGTTAATGATTTGATGGATTGATGTTGTCTTGGTTTGACCACCCTTTCACTTTCTTTAAACTTACAGCTATTAACCTTAATAATGAACGTTTTTACATTGATTATAGGTTATCAACCGTTAAAATTGATGGTTGGGATTAATGATTAGTTTATATATATACTATAATTCAGAATATTCACACTGAAACCAAAATTAACAGAATAATGAAGTGAAATATCACTTCATATTTCTGATATTTATTTAAACGCATTCATAAGCCATTTGTTCCTTCACGATACTGGAGCCCAACTATCATAGGTGGACTCTCCATGTCCACCAACCTGGTTAAATCGCCGGACATTTGCTTTTCGTACTCTCAATTTCGTAAACAACACCCGTAGTGCGAGAAAACAGTGAGTAGGAATTCCCTGATAGTAGCTGTATGCACGTGGTTATTTGAGAGCATTTTTCAAAGGAGAGCTGACTCTCCTCACTCTCGGCCATTTGGGGGTTGAGTAAACTTTAACTTTACCAATGTGTAAACATTAGTCTAAAAGCAACCGAATAAAACAATTACGAATTGTATAAAAATCTATCATAAAAACAAATTAACTACATAGTACTTTTCTTTGTCTTCAAAAACGCATTATGTTCAATTCTTTAATTTGTTAAGGTTCTGATTAGATTAGAGATTAGATTACGCCTGTTACCCCCAATGGAGCATAGGCCGCTGACCAGCATTCTCCAACCCACTCTGTCCTGGGCCTTCTTTTCTAGTTCCATCCAATTCTTGTTCATTTTCCTCATGTCTATCTCCACTTCTCGACGTAATGTGTACTTTGGTCTTCCTCTCCTCTTTTTGGCCATGGGGATTCCATGTGAGGGTTCGCCTTGTCATACAGTTGGGTGCTTTCCTCAATGTGTGTCCTATACACTTCCAGCGCTTCTTCCTGATTTCTTCCTCTACTACGATCTGGTTTGTTCTCTCCTACAGTACGTTGTTGCTGACAGTGTCCGGCCAACGGATCTGAAGTATTTTGAGTAGACAACTGTTAATAAACCTGTATTTTCTGGATGATGGCTTTCGTAGTTCTCCAGGTTTCTGCCCCATACAATAGAACTGTCTTGAAATTTGTATTGAAAATCCTAACCTTGGTGTTGGTTGACAGTTGTTTTGAGTTCCAGATGTCCTTCAGTTGTAAATATTCTGCTCTTGCTTTACCGATCCGCGCTTTCACATCTGCATCAGATCCACCGTGTTCATCAATGATGCTGCCTAAATATGTAAAGATTTTTACATCTTCCAAATCTTGTCCGTCAATTTTGATTGGATTGGTGCATGCTGTGTTGTATCGGGGAATCTAGCTTTTCCCTTTGTGTATAATGAGACCTACTGCTTCTGAGGCTGCTGCTACACTGTTCGTCTTCTCCTGTATTTGTTGTTGCGTTTGCGATAGAAGAGCAAGATCATCAACGAAGTTTAGATCATCCAGCTGCATTCTAGCTGTCCATTGTATCCCATGCTTCCTCTCAGATGTTGATGTCTTCATGATCCAGTCGATCACCAGGAGAAAGAGAAGGAGCCTAGTGATTGTTAAATATATAATTTCCTTCCTACTATTGATATCTACTTTAAACACTTTGAATGTAGGCTGTTTTGTAATTGTTTTAAATGAAGTATTATCTAGCTGTATATTCTAGTTCTCTACATTCGATTGTGAATCTTTTGTCTAGTATAAAATGATCCTGATCTGTGTATAGGATATCAATCGAGTATCCAATCTAATGGAAGTAAATGGAGATCTCATTCACGGATTATATTGTCGTACAACAAAAACGTATTGTTCCAAACTGAAAATACTTTTATTCTACGGTTATATCTAAAAAGAATTGCCCGTAATTAATTACTAAAATGCATAAGATTGTTGTTTTTTTAAAGACTTGCGTAATCACACAGTGAATTTAACACGATATATTAAATAAATTACATGAAATATGTGATCTGAATGCGAATTGTACGTAAGAATGCATAATATGATTCGAGGCATAGTTAAAGGTGTTTTTATCATTAAAACTGATATAAGGAGAAAAATAGATGATTATCATTAGTACAGTAGGGTCTACGTCATCAGTCTGTAATTACAGAATAATGACGAAGTTCAAGAGAATGAAAGTAGCTTTAAAAAATCAATAATAACATGTTAGAACCTTAACAACCAAGGTCAGGATTTTCAATACAAATGTCAAGACAGTTCTACTGTATGAGGCAGAAACCTGGAGAACTACGAAAGCCATCATCCAGAAAATACAGGTTTATTAACAGTTGTCTACTCAAAATACTTCAGATCCATTGGCCGGACACTATTAGCAACAACGTACTGTGGGAGAGAACAAACCAAATCCCAGCGGAGGAAGAAATCAGGAAGAAGCGCTGGAAGTGTATAGGACACACATTGAGGAAAGCACCCAACTGTATGACAAGGCGAACGCTCACATGGAATCCTGAAGGTCAAAGGAAAAGAGGAAGACCAAAGTACACATTACGTCGAGAAGTGGAGATAGACATGAGGAAAATGAACAAGAATTGGATGGAACTAGAAAAGAAGGCCCAGGACAGAGTGGGTTATAGAATGCTGGTCGGCGACCTATGCTCCATTGGGAGTGACAGGTGTAGGTAAAGTAAAGTAAAGTAAAGTAAAAGTAAAGTAAAGTAAAAGTAAAGTAAAGTAAAAGTAAAGTAAAGTAAAGTAAGGTAAAGTAAGTAAGTAAGTAAGCTCCTCCACGAGGGGTAACAGGAGTGAGTAGGCAAGTCAGCTGACTATCTGTCTGTTTACACTCAACAGCTAATCACATATTACTTTTAAAATAAAGTTTATACTATCTTTTACTGGGTTTTAAATTTTGCGCAATATTCTATAAACGTCATCTTAAATATGATTGGTTGCTCGAAGGTCATCGCTATCCAATCTAGTTCTATCGTAGTTATCTATCTTTTATATATATATATATAATGTTCACATTCTTATTATCTTTTAACTATTATGTAACAACATTAATTTTTGTTATCTATGCTAATGACGCAAAAAATTTTCCAGTTTTTTGTTATTCATAGTCTATTATATGTAGGTTAAACTAAGTTTTAATAGAAAATGATTGTAAAACTTTGTTAAATGTCATCATTGGAAAGGAAAAATGATTCTGTTGTTATTATTATTATTGTTGTTGTTGTTGTCGTCGTCGCTGGATTGTTTTGTATTTTATTTAGTGATGTAATAGATTTCGGTAAAAGTATCCCTATAGTATCCTACAGTACAGGAATGAGATTTTTTTGGGGAAAAAAAACAAACACAGCTGTTATGCATTGTCAACCAATCCGAAAGCAACTTTAATCAATGGATTGTTTATGGAGAGAGAAAAGACAACAGAATAATGTTATGTAACAAAGTGTAGATAGATTGTACATAACATTTTTTACAAGTTGGTCTGTTATAGAAAGTTGAAAATGTAAAGACAAATAGTTTCGTTCTTTATAGATATGGATTAGATAATTTGATAGAGTTTTATTCTCTGAGTTGGATGGTATGTTTGTGGAGATTTCATTGTTCTTCTGATGTTGTTTCATGACCAAACCATTCAGATTAGAGAATAAAACTCAAACAAAATCATCCAGCCGAGCTAAAAATCTTCTCTACGATCTCAAAATATAGATTATATGATTTTTTCAAAAAGGTATAAGGGTCTAAGTTGATTTCTAAGAGTTTCGATGTTGTTCTTGGTTAAAGTTAGGTATTTAAGATGAGGATTATAGGTTTCAGATTTAGAGTTTTCAACATGAACTCACATTACTAATAATATAAAATAGACACACTGTAGTCAATATGGATGAATAGATTTCACTCAAAAATATAAGAGGTGTTATATCATTACTTCGTTCATAAAATATGATGGGATCAAGTTAAGATTTATTTCAGGTCGAGGAGGAGGAAGAGACTTCACCTTTTCTCTTCAAATGCTCTAATATGGTCTCGGGTAGACAGTCTTTACCACGGAAATTCAACTCATTGCCTTCTCTCGACGGGAGTATTATTTACGGTGTTGACAGAAAAAGAAGTGAATATCCGGCACTTAAATCGGGCGAGTCGGTACGGAGCATATAGCTCGGGGAGTTGGAAAACCCTGATTTCAAGTCAGTGGTTCATATCGGCCTCAGGATAATGAGGGAACAAATGGAGTATGAACCTATTGTTAGTCGCCGGCTACCATGGGATTGAATCTCCTAACGTTGATCCACTGCCTTGTGGATTAGATCTCTAGATCGAAGACTCGGAGAGTCTTCCCCTAAGAAAACCATTTGTTTTTAATATGGGTACAGAGGCAGTATTTCGGTTCACACACAAATTCCATGATTTGTGTGGCGTATATATATTTTATTATCACTTTGCGCCAATGTTTATGTGTTTAGATAAGTAAATGAATATAAATATAGAGAGACAAAATTAAGCATTTGATACGGACGAAATCACTATTTTTACTCGATTATTATTATTATTATTTGAACATATCAATATTGGTACAAAAAGGGAACCGAATACATATACACCACACAAGTCACTTGAGTTATGTGCGGGCTGTGATACTATCCGGGTGCTTAGACCGAAACAGGTGGTTTCCTTAGGGAGCCCAATACCCAGAGCCTTCAACTTAAAGGTCTGATCCACAAGACAGTGCAATAACATCACGAAATGCAGTCCAATGCTAGTCAGTGACCAATAATGGGTTCATACTCCATTTGTTCCTTTAGGATCCTAGAACCCATAGGTACCACATTAGTTTAGAATCGTGGTTTTTCAACTTCGCATCAATCAAATAATACAGAGGATAAATTCATATTCAATTATAAAACTTTTCAAAATTACATTACCTTTCATCATTTGAAGATAGTTGTTGAGGTTGATAAGAATGTATAAAAGATTTATGAATTATATTTGCTTTAAAATAATCCCGTTCATTCATTACTTTCAATTGATGATAAATATGATTATTAGAGAATTCTTTAAAACTTGTTAAATATGATAATTGTGATGATTTATAATAATTGATTAATGAAAATATTGATATACATGAAGAGAATTTTTTATTGATCAGAGGAAATTGATTTTTTAATGATTTAATAGTAGTATTATTATGATCATCATTATCAGTAGTATGATTATCTTTATCAGTAGTATTATTATTATCGTTATGAGTAGTATTGATATTAGTATATTTTTCATTGATATTTTTTATTGATTGTAATTTTTTTAAGTAACATAATAAAGAATCTTGACTAATAGAACGTTTTAATCGATAATTGGTTGGATAATATTTCGATGTTAAATTATTTACATTTGATGATTGATGAACATTTATTGAATTGTTTGCAGGATTAAGCCAATTTATCACATTAACATGAATTCCAGCCATTTTATCTTCTTTGGATTCTTCATTGTCAATCTAATTATGAACAACGACTAATTACAGTGAATAAAATATACATGTTCAGGAAGATATATATATATATATATATATATATATATATATAACTCACCAAGTATGTACTCGTGTACTCTGCCTTGTGGGTCAGACCTTCAGGTCGAAGGCTCAGGGAGTAGCCCCCTAAGAAAACCACCTGCTTCGGTTTGGGCATCCGGGCAGTATCACAGCCCTCACACATATCGAATGAGATTTGTGTGGCGCATATGTATTTGGTGCCTCCTTGTACCAATATCTATGTGTTAAAATAAATAAACAAATAAAAACTCTGCCTAGGGACACTATGGAGCTGCACAAATAGAAATCGATGGAGAGGGTTTGGAACCTGTAACCACTGGATTCAATACTTCACATACATGAATAGTAATCAGTTCAGGTATTTCTTAAGAAAATAAAACATCATGTTGACCTAATAATTAGAAGTCTAACTTAAATTAATTATCTATAATCTAATATATTGCTTGTTTTTATATTGTTTTTTTTACGAATCAATGGTTCTGTCTTTTAATTTCTACTGGGATAAGACGTAGATAACAATTTCTTTTGAATGAAATACTCGTTCAAGTGATCACTTGAACAGTTCCGATAATAATAGTCTATTAAATTAATCACCGTTATTATAAATATATTACAATAATCTCATTTATGGCGTAGGCGAGATATCCGTCTATCAACCAAAGGACGTGTTTACTGTGCAGCAGTTTGTTCCGTCGTACTTTATGGCAGTGAAACGTGGCCAGTAAGAGTAAAGGATATTTGTAGGTTACTAGTATTCGATCATAGGTGTCTTTGAAACATTGCTCGTATATCCTGGGACCATCGAGTAAGTAACACAGTTGTTAGGAAACGGGTACTAGGTAAAGATGGCAAATCAATTGATGAAGTGGTGAAACTTCATCGGTTGAGATGGCGGCTAGGACATGTGTTACGTATGCCCAATGACCGACTACCTCGACGTGTGATGTTCAGTGGTATAGGAGTAGGTTGGAAGAAAGCTAAGGGTGGCCAGACCAAAACATGGCACAAGTCCATGAAGTCACTGACAAATGGACTGAGTGAGCCATGATGGTAGGTATAGACTACCTGGTTGGGGACCGCGAGATGATAGCAACCGATGGTTAGAGACCCTGAATGGCATGGCTCAAAATCGTTTGCAATGGCGCAAGTGCATTCACTCTTTGTGTTCTCCCAAATTCTAATCTCCTGAATTCTTCGTATACCTTTTTTTCGCTTTCCAAATTTATTTCGCTGTATTATACTCTTTCAATAACATCTCCAAACCCTAATCTTTCCGATTACTGCTTATACTCTTACTACCTCTACCACTACGGGATTTGAATCGACAACTGCATCTCTGTGCTAATGTGGTATGGCAACTCGAACTGATGTACGTAAGTACGAAGTTCTACGTTGTTACTGACTGACTGAAATATATCACAAAACAGATGGAGAATGTCTTTAACGTTTAACAGTTCGACAGGTTGTAGTAACCATCTTTTTTTGACAAGAACTGCTTTCATCAAGTGTTGATTATGATTTTAAGTAATACTGAAACTCCGTTACCCTATAGTGTTGGCTTCAGAAGTTTCGTGACGAGTAACATGGCCACTTAGATATATGATTGACCGACCTCTAAGGTAAGAACCTGTTCGCATTAGAAATGACAAGATCTTACGAGGAATCCTTCATTTAAGTAGTAAATAAGCGGGTTATGCTGAAGTGATAAGTATTAAGATATGATTTCAGTACATTTAGATAGTTGATAACAGTGCAATCCATGATGTACGTTTCGTCTTGATTGGGTCTCATCAATTGGATGTACTTGTATCATAGTGTTGACAAGTAACCATCTTTCAACGTACCTCTATTCAATGGTTTAAAAGTTAAACATTACCATTAAGAATGCAGAGTCCCTTTAGTCTAGCTCCTAGAAAGCTTGTAAATGTATGCCACTGAAGAGTTCGACACCAGGATGAAAAAAACTATCCAGTGCTCTCCGGTTCGCAATGGTTGTGTTACTAAGATTCAGTTGGTGTTTCATCAATCATTTCAAACATTATTGACTTTATCAGTAGAAATAATAATGACAAATAACACTTCTTATTTAGAAATAATAAGATTATTTTATTTTCTTACCTTAATTGTTGTTTTTGATAAACCGGTTTTAAACAACATTTCATTATCATTTGTCATTGTTTTCTTATTTTCATTTATGGTTGGATTTAACATTACATCGAATTGAATCTTGTCGGAATTATTGGTTGAATTATCGTTGCCCTTCAAATTAGAAGTAGTAGTAGTAGTGTACGTGGTGGTGATATCGGTTGTACGACTACAGGTAATTTTCACAGTATCTTTTAACTGATGATGTACAGATTTTACCGATGAAGGTGAAGAAGTGACATCAGTTCGATGATCATGATGATTACAGAATGTTTGACTACCGTTATTATTGTTTTTGTTGTGAATATCACTTATTTGAGTGAAATTCGATCTTACCATGGTTTGTTCTGGTACATATTGATGATGACCTCCTCGTACGACTTGATTGTCAGTTGTTATTACAGAGTCATATGCTGGCGGTGGTGGAGGAGAAGGGACATTTACAAGTTGATGCAAACTATTTGTACTGGCGAATTGTTTTTTAGTATTATGTAGACTGGGAATAATGAAAAGAATGATAATAATCAATAAATAAGTTTTATGCATACTATTAAATGATATTTATGAATAAATAAACTTATTAAATATATACTAGTAGATATGAGCCAATGATAAAATATATTTTGTATTGGTTGTTTATATCTTCTTATTGATGTTAAAGACTACATTTGACCAGTCTCTTATTGTCATATGTGCATACTTTGTGGATTGCCTTAAATCTGGACTCAGTAGCTAATTGAATAACCTGATAGCGTTTGAAGCGAATGGTATTGAATTCGAGTTCCGGAGTGAACATCAACTCTGGGATGCAGATATATCTAGCTGTCGAGTTCCAATTAGAACAAAAAATGCTTCCTGAATTCCATTGATAGCCATCATCCATTTTCGCTTATGATGATAAAATACTTATTCTATCTATTAAATTTTACTTAATTAAGACAAACAATATGTAAGTATGGCATGTATTTTGGAAAGTAGTTCTACACAACTGACAGGAGCATATGATTGCATTCACTTTTTGTGGTCATCCGTTAGTTGTTAAAAAGAATTCGTGTATTTTAGAAGTTGTGTATGTTGGCAGTGGTATGGAAGACGAAATCAATCTACGCATAGTGAAAGTCAGGACGCAGACATTAATCCAATTGGTGGCAGCAACTTGAAATGCACATTTCAATGGCTTTAAAATGTCTGACGAATGTTATCTTAGTATCTTTAAATTCGTGCAAGTAGTCATTCTATGACATGGCGTCATGGTATGAAAATAGATTATATAAGACAAGTATTTGTCCGTCTGACAAGACTCGCTGGTTGGGAGCCTGGAGATGGTACAACTAATTGGCTTGAGATGTTACGAGACATGGATCAGAATAGAAAACAGAAGAACTCCTGTAGTAGTTTTCTTTTACATTCTTTGAAATTATGAGAGATTTTTTCAACTGTTTTCATCAAGATCCTCTTCTTTTCACTCATTTGCATCTAGTTATTTTTTATGATTGACACAGTGAACAAAGGTGTAAAACTGATTAGAGTATTAGTGACCTATGATATTTTATACTTATGTTTATTCGGTAAAAATCAAATCAGTATATTCAGACATTATTTTAATTCATTTCAGAGATCTAACCACTCCTCATCTATTATATTCACGTTCTTACTTGTGTTGTCAAATTCACTATTACCAGTAGCCAGTACCAAGTATGCATTTTCACAAGTTACAATAATTATACTCATCCTTCGAATATTTAATTCATTTCTTCCCGACTTCACCTCATTATTTGTATTGTGTATACTAACTTCGATGCCCAGTTACACAGGTATAGAACCATAACTATCTGTATATGTTTAAATTTAATAAAACCTTTAATTGATTTATTTAGCATTATATCACATCAGTCGTGCAAATTAAATATGGTCGAATCGTTAATGATATAGACATTGTATATGCTCCGTTGACAAATCCCGTTAAAAACAATACGGATATAAAAAATCGAATAGCAGAGTTTCGGATATGTCTACTCTGTTTCTCATTTGTTAATCAGCCGAAATAAACATATCAAATATCATTAAAATTCGACAAGTAATGTAAATGTCATCATATAATGTTAATATGAATCATTAAAACAATTCCCCGAAATAAAAAAATAAAAACAGTCGGTGAATAGAAGAACACATCTTTAAACACTAATAAATCTACGATATCACGCTACCATCATCCATTGTATTCGTGTGTTGAATAAATTTATGCATTAACATTGTTGGATGCCAAATTAATGATCTAAAAGTTAATCATTTGCATATCAAAACCGAAAGACCTGAGTTTTAACCACAAGATACAAGATCGTGGATGTACACTGACATTAAGCTGTTTCATCCTAGAACAGAACAACTATTTAGCCTACCTTAGTTTTCAATAATGGTCGGTACGTACTCGCTTCGGCGGTACATATAGTAAAATTGGAACGATAGAGAGAAAATAAGAATCGACCCCTGCGCAAGGATGAGACGCAAAATCGTGAAGCGTTCCATATTCTTTTGGCTCAGTGGTCCAGTAGGTTAAGCGTTCGCGTGCGAGACCAAAAGCCCTGGGTTCGAATCGTGGATGCGCATTGTTGAGGAGTCCCACAATAGGACGAAATAGCCGTCCAATGCTTCCAGGTTTTCAATGATGGTCTAACATCAATCGGTTCATGATCTCAATCAAGAATTTATTGCCCCACCCCCCAAATGCCCTGGTACACTACCATACACTAATCTGTGGTCGTTACTGTTCTCTCTTATACGCACTTTACATCCTTTTTCTCTTCCCATTCTCATTGTTATTGTGTGTGGCGCATATATATCTGGTGCCCCCTCTACCTTGTACCAATATGTTTGTGTTCAAATAAAACAAATAAATAAATAACTAGGATCAGTTTCCTGATTTAAGAGATATAAATTATTCATAAACTTATGATTGTTTATATAAAGGATCTATTCATTGAATAAATTGTATGAATTTACATGAATTATACTATACACTTAAAACAAACATCCTATTTGTTTTAATCACTCTATCAGATATATTTTACAAGGCAATTAACAAATTATATTCACTAAACAATGGATAATTTATTGAAGCAAATATCATAATGAACAAAGAATAGTAAACAATACTACTTACAGTGAACTTGGTTGTATATTACTATTATTATTATTATTATTATTATTATTATTATTATTATTATCATTAGTAGTATTGTATAATTCATTATAAATCATAGATGAATCGGTTAATTGTTGATCTTTTAATTTATATTCTAACATTGATAATGTTAATGCTCTACGTAGATGATGATTATTACGATGATGATGATGATGGTAGGATTTTAAAAATTCCATATTATTTATTAATGATGAATAGAGATTACCACAAAATGGACATTTTTGTTTTTTATTAACTCGTGAACTACAACTACTACTAATATTATTATTAGTAGTAGTATTATTAAATAAATTGTTATATATAAGATAACCTAAATAATAAATCTCATTAAATTGTTCTAAGCTATTTGGTATTGTAAAATAATAATGATGATTTTTTAATAATTCCAATCTATTTATATTACTTTTATGAATGATATCAGTAGTATGAATAGATGAATGTGTATTATTATTCCCAATAGATAATGGTAATAATAATGATGATTGTAAAATAGATTTAGTAAATTTGAAATCATTACGTCGACGATAATAGAAATCACTTAATTTACGTCCTAATGAAAATGTTGACAAAGTTGAAAAAGGAAATTGTTGTTTATTTGAATGAGTAGTAATACAATCATTTGTATTTTCTATATCATTGAAATATTGAAATTTTTCATTGTCAACAAATTTTTTCTCTTCAGTTGAACATTTTTGTTGATTTAATTCATTTTGTTGTTTTCGATTAGTATTGAGCTCTTGAATAAGCGATTCATAGTGTAAACGTTCTCTAGAATGTTTAAAAAAAATAGGAGGTAGGGGGAGAGGAGGAATAAATAGTGAAATAGAAATAAATAAACAGATGACCCTAAATGCCCTGGTACGGTCGAGAGTCGGGTGGGCCTGCCCTCCCTCTCAAAATGCTCTCAAATGGCCACGCGTATACAGTCTCTGACAGGAAAGTCCTACTCACTGACTTCTCTCACCACGGGGGTGTTGTTAACGAAAATGAGAGGACGAAAAGCGGATGTCCGGCACTTTAACCGGATCCCAAACCAATGGTGCACATGGGCTCCAGTATCCTGCAGGAACAAATGGAGTATGAACCAATCGCTAGTCACCGGCTTCCATGGGACTGCATCTCTTTACGATGCTACACTGCCTTGTGGATCAGACCTTTAGGTCAAAGGCTCCGGGTGTGGCCCCCTAAGAAAACCACCTGCTTCTGTCTGGGCACCCAGGCAGTACCCCAGCCCTCACACAAATCGAATGATTTATGTGGCGCATATCTATTTGGAGCCTCCTTGTACCAATGTCTATGTGTTTAAATAAATAAATAAATAAACAGATAGTTAGTTGTATGGAACCTAGAATCTGGACATAGATATCTGTATCAGTTTAAGTTGGAATACAAAATCAGAACAGTGAGATGAATGTCAGAATAGTACAAGTAGTAAGAATATTAGTGATAATAGGAAAGATTGAGCATATATAACATCATTCGAAAAGAAATGATTAATTCGTAACATCGAAGGTATTAAATAATTTAAAAACAAGACCTAATGGAAGGCAAATCCAGTGGTCTCGAACAACTGGTTACGATAAGTGCGCAAACTCCATCCAAGTAGTTTGTAATGATTAAATCCAAAAGCTAGTGACTTCATAGGGTGATATCATAACTTGGTTAAGTCGTCACCTAGCTTTTTTACAACTTACTTTTACACTAGTCAATATTCGTAATGTGAGAACCTGGATTAATAAGAGTATTTTTCAGATTAAGAGTTATCTCGGAACACACGTAGTGTTATAACGTGAACTTCAGGAAACTAGACTAGTTTCAAACTTGAACGTGTATGTATTGACTAAATATATTCGCATTTGTCAAACTCGACAACATCGAAAAGCCTACAGATGTCCGACTATAGTGGTTTTTCTTGATATTAAGGCAGCTTTCAACTACGTTGATAGACAAGTTATGTAGCAGTGTCTGTTATTGAACGGCATACCAAAGGAAGAGATCAATCTAGTACAGACCTCTTTACTCGAACACTACAGGTCATCGAGTTAGAACTTATATTGAAGATCCGTAAAAGATGTAGAGTCTTATAATCACTTTGAGTAACAATATAAACATGTTTGGAATATGTTCCTCATCTTTTAAATGTAAAGTTTGAATTTATGAGTAACTTGTATCAACATTCAAGCTAATAATAGGGCAGTGAAATAATTGAGCACAGATTATAGAATCTATTGTTGGGATAAACTTTTAACTATAAATTAACAAATTACTTTAACAGTACGCTACCAAGACAATTTTAACTCTCTATACACATGACAAGCTGCTGTGTTGTGTAGTATCCGATTCTGATAGTGGTACCCAGACTTATGATACACGAATGAGATCATGAATATGAAGGAAGCTTTTATTGGCTAACCAGATAGAGAAATGACTATATATATATATATATATATATATATATATATATATATATCTTGACGAGTCATGGGCGTTTAACATTTAGCCAATTATTGATTGCTCCACTACAACAACACATTCGACATCTTTCATAACAAATAAACGAAATAATGAACACCATAAGAGATTTTGTAAACTAACCGTTGAGCTTTACGTTTTTCTTCTTCGCATTCAGCTAATAATATTTTCAATTCCATATATAATTCATTAGCTCTTTCACGTTTATCATCATAACAACGTCGAATATCTTGTGCATGACATAATTCTTCACGTCGACGACGAATTAACATCACTTCAAGTTTTGGTGTACACTGACCTTCAAGTCGAATATCCTATTAGATATGTTTGTATGAAAGAAGATTCAGGCAAATAATTAAACGGGATGTTAGACAGCCCAATTATCGGTGAACGATAGATACTAAGTATATATTTCTGAATAACTAATCATACCCATAATGTTTAGTCTTTTTCATTATTATTGGTACTGCGTTACTTCAATTACTTGTCCCTGTTCATTCTGTGTAACTTCCTCTTGTCGTGCTAATGTGATACAGCCATTTGGGTTAAAGGACACATGTATCTAGCTCTATGTTGATCACGACTGACCAACTGACTACAAATGCCAAAACAATATCAGTTGTTTATTTACTAAAGAGAAGACGGACCTGCGCCTCCCTGTGGTGCCCTGTAGGGAGTGAATCATGTTTATGAGCTAACGCGGGCGGCTAAGAAGAAATCGGGCTAATCACCCGATCCGTCTTAAAACATGATTAACAGAAAGGGGCGCATTGTATGGATAAACGTGAAATGCAGAACTGGAGAGAGAATTTCGCCTTATCTGTCTGACCGGATTCACTCTAGAGAGGACCATTGAATCTGGCAGGGCTGAGCTAGAACGTATGACAATAAACTGTGCCGTAACCAGAACACAGGCGTCGACACTAGAATTGCTTTCGGGATGAGTGTGAAATATCGTCAAATGACGACTCAAAGCACAATTGACTTGATTACTTGTTATTTATTCAGCGCTTTATAACCGCTGGGTTACGGCCTGAGGTGAATTGGATGTATATCCCTGTACACACTATGGAGAATGTAGGGCTTAGTTCATGCACTATGTATATTCATGTAACGTACACTTGCGAGCTGAAGCATTTATACCTATGTATACTGTAGAATGCACATGTCTCTAACGTGTACATTCTAGATATAAATAAGACGCATACTTGAGGCAGTACCATGTCCCATACCGGTGCATTTATTATAGCTTTAAACACTTTTGAGTTGTTACAAAGTTTCCACACATGACAGGAAAGTGTAGACTGTCAACGTGTCTGTTTACGCTACATAACGTATAGTTGAATCGAAGTCCCTACTTACAAACGTTAGTTTATTCACTGGTGAAATGACGAACTGGTCTGTGTTAGACCAAGACCCTCGATCTCGCACGGACGCTTAACCTCTAGATCACTGAGCATACATTCAACGGTATTAATGTCTAACTTCAATCAACCAATAACTCCGCCTGGAGTCCCTCCGGGGGCTACTGCCGGTCCCAAGCCCGGATAAAGGAGGAGGGTTGGGCATGGGGTTAGCGTACCCATCCCGTAGAAAACTAACTCGCTAAAAAAACGCTAACCAGAAAAAATTATTCAAATCAATCAACCAATGATCTTGCGTAACCTTTCATCCATTGCCTGAGATGAGTAGATTTTTCACACTCTAAACGGATGGATCGTGGACGCGCGTTGCTGAGAAGTTCCACCCTGGGACGAAGTGAGCGTCCAGTGTTTCCAGGTTTTCAAAAGTGGTCTATCTCAGACCAGTTCACGATTCCAACGGCGGACATGATACATTCTCCCCAAATCACCCATATTAACATTAGTTTACTCAAGTTACCAAACGTATTTTTTAAATACTCTGTAGAAACTCATACCCATGAAATTAAATGTGCGAATAAAACCATATATAAAAAATGCCTACTTCCGCCACCCATCGGTTGAAATACGGCAGGGGAAGGAGAAAAAGGGACCCACACATACTTGAAGGTAAACAGTGATTTCTTCTTTCCATAGTTGACGCAATGAAATGAATTCATCATCAGTGTACTGTAGTAAACGTGAACAGGTTACATTTAAATGCGATAGAATTTGACGAAAACTGGGACGATTCCTTGGCTTGATATTCCTTTTTTTTTCGTTAGAGCGAATAAAAAAGATAGAAATAATATCTAATTATCATAATTAAAAAGTACAATATGTAACATAGAAATTTTAAAAACAAAAATGATAGACATACGCAAACAAAAATCAACACAGAGCCCAGTACAGATGTATGTGTTAACCTAAGTTCTTATACCACACTTAGCACGAGATGAGATGAATTTAACCAACTAAGCGACAAAAGAGACCGAAATAATACATTACTAGTGATAAAAAGAAAGACTTAATATTGTGAATAAGGTTTGAAAAGACGGAATGGAAGGGTATGATATGAAGGGACACTAAAGTTCACGATCGAAACGAAGGTAAAGAGCAATGAATGCACCTGTACCATTATTGTGAACGTAATTCTAGACTATATCACCCAATGTATTGAACCACTGATCACGGTTATCATGCGAACCTTAGTCAGGTGGTTCGCATCTACCTGGCAAGTTCAGAGTATACACAAAAAATTAAAATAAAATAGTATTGCAGTGTAAGCTACATATATTGACCGTCATAAGTAGTATGTAACATTGACCAGAACTGGAATACCTAGCAGCAGAGAATGAGCAAATCGAATTGAAGAGAACAGGAAGGTGAACAGAGACTAATTGTAACAACAACAGGAATGAAGGAACGATGAAGTTTGTAAGAGACAACTGATGGAAGCCGTGCAAATGAAGTACTTAATGTGTATTTTTCATTTTTACCACGACATTCTGTAATTCGTATTAAAAATAATAACCAAGATTATTCACCTGATTTAAATTACTATGAAAATCAAAAGTTTACCAGGGTGAAGATAGAGAACCATCTGATATTGTGGTTAAAACATGTATCACGTATACCAAACTACTGTATGTGTTGGACGTATGTTTGCTGATGGAGGAGTAGATTAAATGAAAGCTAAACGTGGTCAAACGAAGATGTTGTATTACTGTATCAAGTTATTGACAATTAAACTAAGTCATGTTTAGACTATTTAAATAAGTATGGGCACGACTATTGTGTCAAATGTTTGGAGATAATAGGTAATATGGTTCAGAATCAGTCATAATGGTGTAATGAAGAAAAACACAGGTGAGGACAACCGAATTATATTAAGCACCACATTACAAAGTTACTTGGTAATATAAAAAAAACATACTATAATACTTAATTTGCAAAATGTTCAATAATTGTCTCGAACTTCATTGTTCTTGCATTTCCATACTAATTGCTTTCTATTCCCGCTCTTCCTTTCTTGATCTTCCCCATCTTCTGCCGCCAGAGATTACATTCCTGACTCGCGTCATATACTACTTATATCAATATAAGTAGCACGCACCACAATGGTGAAAATGAATTCACTTGATATATTACCTTAGATCTTGAGAATTTCAAAACTACATGATAACTTTGTATTCAACAAATTTATGTTTTCATTTCAAACTATCTCGTCTATACTAAATGTTTTTTTAAAATACCATTTGTACTATTACTGTTTATATTATTCAGGGATCATGTGGAAATTTGTACACAGTTGCATTTATCCTCCAATGAAGTGACGATGTGTTAACCTGATATGATCACTTCAAATAATCAATAATACACAAAAAATTTTTTAAAAAATCTCATTTTCAATATGTAAAGTACTTCTGATTCAGTAAGTTCATTCATGTGGTAATTTAATGAAAATGTTTGTTCATCTATTTATCTTACATAGCAGTAGCAGTAAAGTTTTCAATAAGCTACATACTACTTATTGATGAAAGTAATTACGTTACATTAGTACAAAATTGTATTGAATGAACAGTGACAGAAACGAATATTTCACACAGAACATTTCTAGCAAGTCTTAGTAATCCATACCGTTAAATTAAACATATCTTATCCCACTCTTTAAAGTGAATTTTGTACTTTACGATTTTTTTGTCAAATACTACTAATACATTTAAAACTTGGAAGTAGTGAGGATGGGACTCTTCAGGAATGAGCATCCACGATCCCACACGCGGGATTCGACCCAGGACCTTTGATGTCATGAGCGTACTCTTGGTCTTTAAACCACTACGCCGGCATCCAAGTGTGTTAATTTCCAACTTCAACCAATCCACGATTTTACGTGACCATTTTTCATTGTCCTTGGTAGGTGACTGTCTCATACCCGGCACGGTTGAGCTTCATCGGTCACTGCTTCTCACTAGAACTCCGAGAATTACCTCTCGAAGCTAGTCACTAATAAGCACATGATAAATGTCAGCATATGGTGGTGGAGATTGCTGAGTTTTAATTGAGATCATAAATCAATCAATGTTAGACCACCATTGAAAACCCGGAAGCACTGGACGTCCGTTTCGTTTTCAATGGTATGGTCTAACATTGATCGATCCATGATTCTAATTAAAACCTAACAATCTCTCCAACCCCACATTGACATCCAGAACTATTAATCTAAAATAAATTCTATCTGGTATAGAACAATTCAATCGTAATGCTCTTGTTACAATGAATTAGGTCTATATTCAACTCATTCTTATCTAAACGATTTTAGTGAATTAATTTAGAAAATTATTACTGTTAATTCTTAATCACTGTTATTCTTAACTGAAATCAGATAATATTTAGATAAGATTGTACATTTATGATTGTTTTATTCCATCACAAGTCTTCTAATACTTGTATGTATCATGTAGTTTATGTGTACATAGACACTACAGATCAAGTTGGTTTTTGAAGAAGAAAAAAAAGAACAAACGAAGTTCTTTAGTGGTAACAAAAACGATAAAGAATTTAACTCGAAATTTGTTTATATTGAGCTACTGAAATTTTGAAAAAGAATCTTTGGGTTTACAATAATATGTTAGTGTTTTATTTGTTTATTTATTTTAACACACAGATGATGGTACAAGGAGGCACCAAATACATATGCGCCACACAAATCTCATTTGATATGTGTGAGGGCTGTGATACTTCCCGGGTGCCCAAATAAAAGCAGGTAGTTTTCCAAAGGAACCACACCCGGAGCCTTCGACCTGAAGATCTGATCCACAAGGCAGTGGAGCATTGTAAGGAGATGCAGTCTCATGGTAGCCGGTGACCAACGATCGGTTCATACGCCATTTGTTCTCTCAGGATACTGGATCCCATGTGCACGATAGATTTTGAATGAGGGTTATCCAACTCCCCTAGGTGGACTCTCCATGTCCACCAACCCGGTTAGATCGCCGGGCATTCGCTTATAGTCCTCTCAATTTTGTGAACAACACCCCCGCCACGAGAAAGCGATGAGTAGAACTTCCCTGCAGAGGCTGTCTATGCGTGGTCATGTGAGAGCGTTTCGAGAAAGAGAGCGGACTTTCCCCACTCTCGGCCGTACCGAGGCATTTGGGGGCTAGTGTATTATAATTAGATTATAATAATAGTGTATTATAACCTCTAAACAATAATATAGAGATAATTTATCTTTCTCAGTTCATAACCAGCATACTATTGAAAATTGTCTCCAAACAAGTAATACATTCTACGAGAAGTTTATATTAATTCTGTACATGTCTACCTCAACAAGACATGGTATTAGTTCATTAAGTCACTGACTATTCGTCTGCGCCATGTTGGTAGATGTAAACTATTTGACCAATAGTTAGATACATTATGGGTGATATAGTTCAAGATCTTTCATTCTAGATATACAATCACAGTATTCTTGTATATATATATATATATATATATATATATATATATACTTTTCTTTTGTCTTTTTGAACGATATTCTTACTGTTTAACCATTCGTAGTATCATCACTGCCATATTAACTATTTCACTATTCATTTAATCAATTAAATCTCTTCTCGTTTGAATGTTGAATAGTAACATATATATCAAGTTTTAATGTTGATTGGAATGACAAAAATTTATTCAATAAGAACTTGGATCTAAATGGCTACTTCCATGTTTTAACATTGAAACTAATAATATCTTGAAGAGAAATTTCGTTTGTAAATTGTTTGTTTATATTGTGATTAGCAGTAATATTCAATACACAAGTTTTGCCTCATTTTATAACTTATGATTTAGGTATATATGGATTCTAATGTCGATATTTATGCTGAAACTTAAATCCAGTGCTTATCAGTCGATATTCTTAGACGTTCTTTACTAAACTATTGAGTTCAAATTGACATTAAATTGCTCATCGGATATGAAGGTATTTTGACGACCTTTTCATTTTTTTTGTCATTAGTATTAATGAGTAAGAATCGAAGTATATTTAGTTGATAAATTCCAATTAGAATGAAATTCATAGTCTATATTATTCCACTGCTAGAGACAATCTAAGCTTTGGAACAGCGAAATATACACCGGAAAACAAAATCCTATTCTGAAGTGAAAAATCACCAGATAGTAAAACAAATCTTTCAAGACTGTATAGAAACATGTAAAATAACCCTACTATGCATATTTTTTTAAAAAGAAAGAAAACATAACTACTAATCTGACAAATAATTGTTTTTATATCATTTAATTTTGTTGTTGTTAGAACTTTATCTTGAAGATTCATTGAACTACTAAGAATAATAACCATCATCAAATATTTATTTTCAATAGTACAGAACATGAGTCAATTGAAGCTAGATCACCATGGGAAGTCTGGAAAAACTGGACGGCTGTTTCATCCTATTGTGGGACTCTTCCGTGGCAGTGCGCATCCATGATCTCACCTCGCGAGATTCAAATCAAAGACCTATCGGTTTCATGCGCGAACGCTGAGCCAGTCGACATTCAACAGTATTAATGTCTAACTTCAACTAATCCATGAAATTAAGCGACACATCCACTATTGTCATCAGTGAATTACTATCTCACAACACACCCAGTTGTTATATTATTCTCAATTCAAAACTTTATCAGTTTTTATTTATTTTAAAATTCATTAATTAATCAACAATGGTATGATATTATGTATGAAACTAACAATATCTATGGTACTAATTGTGACAG